GTTACTTTTTCCCATACAGCCTGGACTCAAATAATAGTGTGCATGGCTTTTTATTCATGCTCATATTTCCCAGCTGGGACCGAAATAGGTGTTTTTCCTCCCTCCTGGTGGTGCACATGCAGAATGTGCAGGGCAGATTTGAGGGAGATGGCAGCCTCACAGTGTTTTCTCGGTGCAGGGTGCGGTCGGTTACTCCGCCTGGCTGCAGCTCAGCCAGCTCCTGAGGCTGGACCAGAGCACCTTGGCCACCCGTACTCACTGCTGCCCACATACACCCACTCCCACCACAGCATCAAGGTCGGAGGCGGCCAGATGACGGGGGTGCAAGGGTTCAGGCTGGGACTGAGGGAAACTTGGTGCCCTCTGTTCAATGGGGGTTCATATGTGTGCTTCTCAGGATCAGAAGAGGCCGTGCAGCCAAGCACAGCAAATTACATGGACTGGGCTGGGAGTTACCTGACCACACACACACACACACACACACACACACACACACACACACACACACACACACACACACACACACACACACACACACACACACACACACACACACACACACACACACACACACACACACACACACACACACACACACACACACACACACACACACACACACACACACACACACACACACACACACACACACACACACACACACACACACACAAAACAACTTCCACTGCCACTTTCACTCAACATCCCTCTATATACAGCTAACTGTGCAACCTGGCACTATTTAATGGCTGAAAAAGGAGCCAAAGTAGAAGAAACCAGCACAGACAGTTTGTGTGTGTGTGTGTGTGTGTGTGTGTGTGTGTGTGTGTGTGTGTGTGTGTGTGTGTGTGTGTGTGTACTCTCTCTGCCATGATTACAAGAGGAACCACAGAGTGAAAGTCAGGTTGTAGGATCAGGAAAATTCACAGCAGGTTATGAAAGACAATACGACTGTAATTACAAAGTAAGTGTGGGGTCTTGAAGGGAGAGCCTAGCATCAACAGCCACCCACAGACTGTTTAAGACACACTAATCTATAAAAATATCCTGGACTTACTGAAGCAAATATCATACAAAAAGTCAAAATTATGCCCGCACACCTAATATTTAAAAGGCTTTAGCCGGTCTACAGAACAGAACCTACCAAAACACACTGTGGTCTGAGCTAATAATAGCGCCACAAATCAGAGGTGTATAAACATCCAGAAGGAGGAAATTATTATATAGACATTCTCACCACACAGAGCCAGCAGGGTGCAGTGCTTTGCACATTTCACATCAGGAAAAACTTTAGAAAATGTGTGTTTTTGTATCTTTTGAAAAGCCCAACCTAAATACTAGAAGAAACTAAGCTCTCACGTCTGTCTTTACATCAGTTTCTTCAAGATAAACACATTTTTCACAGTAGATTTTTCAGCAAACAACGCTTGAGGAGATTAAAACCAGTGTATCATGTATTGATAATAATAAATTAGACTTATATAGTGCTTTTCTAAATAGTCAAAAACACTTTTTCCATTAGGGGTCAGTCGAAGATTTTTATATATTTTGAAACCTTTTCAATATTGTGTTTGTAATGACACAGACTCTGTTATTTGAATGATTGATAGCATTAAAAAGTACCAAAACTTTAAAAATCGATAGAGGGATGAGTCCATCAAAGAATTACAGGTGAACTCCTGCACAATGTCTAAATTGCACAAAAACATGGCACCGCTTTGGTAACGCTGCAGGAGTTTGGTAATTAATAACAAGAAAAAAAAACTAAGTTGGGTTCCTAGGAATGCTATTTTCGTTGCTGCCTTATTGTATAACGCTGTTATAACAGTGGCAGATATCGTTTGATTTCTTTCTAGAATCATATCGAAATTAAAAAAAGAATTTGTGATAACCCTCGTGCAGTCCTCTCAGCACTGTCTACAGTCATTTAGGTGAGGTTAATGCAAATTCTTTGGAGTAGTAATTTGTTATTGAAAGCAGCTTTTTGTGAACCTTTACAGAGTTATGTCTGTGCAAAATGATTGAAACATTCCCTAAGTGTATATTCACCCAAACTCAAAGGAAATTCACCTCCTATAGGCTGCTGCAGAATTGGTGTTCAGTGATCTTTTTTGCCCTCTGAAGTATCAGTCTGAAAAAACCCATCTCAGTCAGTCTCTAATCTTTTGTAGAGATTATGTATAAGAGAAGCAGAGCTATAAAAACATGTATTTGCAGAGCACTTGAACACATTGGAGTGATTGACGTGAACTCGGTGAGCTGTGCACTTGACGACGGTTTAAATAAAGCGCGGAACTCGAGGCTTCTTCTTTCTCACTGCGCCTCGGCAGCACTTCAATCTCCTCAACATCTGTGATAAGGCTCAACTGGGCCATCTGCTCCGAGATAGCACAGGCAACAACACTCCTGCTGATCCAGGCTGGCCTCCATCAGACAAACATACACACACACACACACACACACCCACCCCACACACAAATAAACACACACACACACACACACACACACACACACACACACACACACACACACACACACACACACACACACACACACACACATAAACATTTAAGGTGAATGACTAAAACAAAACGAAAGGAACAGTCTGTAAAAGTTTGAATTTACATCTCACTACTGTGGTTGTCTTGATATCCTCTGTGAAAAAGGCTGTTTTAATGTAAACTTGATCATTGTTATTAACATACATTTGATCGTCCTCTGCATTGAACCCTTTCTTAAAGATAATGTAAGAAGATAAACTGATTTTTGCTGCAGCATCAAACATGAAAACATGAAACTTTGAATCTTCCAACAGAGAAAAATCAGCTGTCTTTGTTCAACTGACTGACATTCAGAGCAGCTACAGTGACTTGAGACATGCATTTGTGGGTGTATTGTCGGTATCCGGCTGACGTGCCCCAGACTTGAGCCCTGCAGTCGAGGGTCAGTTCAACCTGCCCCCGGCTGAGATCCCGTTATCTGCTACAGTACACACACTGTCTAAACACCACTAACAAGAAAAGATCTAAGACTGGTTCAGTTACAGCAGAAACTCCCTCTTGAGTCCAAAACTGCCCCGCTCCGCTTTGTGTTTCAATCCTTTTCATGAACACACAAGCAGACGTCGTACAGCATGACAGCTCCAGCCACAAAAACTCTTCTTCTCACTGAAAGACTTTTCCTCCTGCGACCACATGAAGGGGTGCAGAGACGAGAGTGAAACACATGATGGAGGACTAATCCTGCCATGTACAACAGACCCACCGCAGGCTGCCAAACACGTGCATCTGCAGAGGCAAGCTTCACTGAACCACCAGCACCTAACGCTGGTCATGTGCCACTCAGCTTGCTCAGGCTGGACAGGAGGAGGTGTGTTTGGACGTGATTGTCCAGGTGTGAAAAAAATGAAAAGACGTATATCGCGGTTGTGTCAGAGGCAGGGATGGTGAAATATGGACAGTTCTGGTTAAGACCTGTTCCAAGACGATCAAATACATTTCCAGACTGACTGAATGATTTAGATCTGGTTGATGTCTGGTTTTATTTTTATTACTGTTTCCTTTATGTGGATGATTTTGACATAACGAGGGAGAAAAGCCATTAAAAAGTTGCATTGCTAGCTCCGTTAGCATTGCTAGGTATCCCATGATGAACCAGACGGTTTCATCACAACACACATTGAATGTGGGCACATTTTGATAGACTGTAGCCATCTTGTTTTCCACCAAGAGGTCAGGATTGGTTCACTACAGTTTGGTACGGTAAAACCCTGATCTTGCTTGTGTTTCCACAGCCAACTGTACCCTTACACATCAATAAAGCACAGTGGAGTGACAGCCAATAAACATAAACAAAGAAGAATAACGTGACACGGTGAACAAAGACCAATGATTCTTAAGTAGGTCTGCATCTCTGAGGTTGTCCATTGGGTTGGTGCTACACTCTGATAATAGTCGCAAAAAACAAAAACATCCTTGAAATGAATCTCCAAATCCACAGGATATTTAAACATTCAGCATTTTTTATTTGTCCTTCATTACAGGAAGTGACGATTTCTTTCAACTAATCAACGGACTGCAGTGTGTCTAGCATCCTTCAGTACCCTTGGTATCCCAACAGACAGGTACCAAAAAAGGACAGTACGGATCAGTTATACTGGTACCCTTCCCAACTTTTGACAGTGGAAACGCCCATAAATGTGTACCGTACTGAACCTTGGTGGAAACGGGGCTATATCTAAGCTGCCCACATAGTCCTGAGAAAAGACCAAAGCTGCAAAATAAGCTGTTTTTGTGTTTGTTTACTTTCACACAGATTTTTGATGCTTAAAGGTCACATATTATCCTCCTTTTCAACTAATTTTATTAAGTCTCAGAGCTCCCCAAAACACACCTTTGAAGTTTCTTGTTCTAAATCCACTCTGATCCTGTATTTGATCATATCTATAAACCCCTCTATTTCAGCCCTGCTTAGAACAGGCTGTTTCTGTGTCTGTACCTTTAAATCCAACTGAGCTGTTTGACCCACCAAAGGGGATGTGGCTTTGGCTTTCTCGCTCCATGCCCTATAGGGCGCCACAGGAATGAGTCTTAAAACCCTGAAGTACGTAAGTTAGCATTTGAGCGCCATGGGGTCTAACGTCTAAAAGTCAATGTGGATTTTGAATGTGTTTGTGGTTAGACACGAAAAAAAAATCCCATAGGATAATTCTCAATAGACCCCATGGTGATGCTACTTCAGGGTTGGCCTACAAAAATACATCATAGCGTTTGTTCTCTATTGTTTACAGTGAGGGGGCAAACTCAGAGGGCAAAACAAACACCTAGCTGTGGGAGTATCAAGAATCTGAGTGATCATTCATCACAAATGTTCACAAATAATAAAAGTTATTTGAATTCAAGTCTCGCATTAAGAAATAATGACAGCTGTGTTTGAATGTTTATGACTCCAACTAACAACTTCATTAACTCTGATTCAAATACAATGAAAGGTAAACTCACTGCGTCTGTGCCAGACAGCCAGGGGCCACAGTGTTGTGGGAGTGGGGCGTTCTCTGCAGACTTGTGAGCTCCAGCATGTCCACCTGTACGTCTGTCACATGACCAGGTAAAGGATTGAGCACAGTCAGAACCTTCTCCACCAGGTTGTCGCCATGGTGACCAACAGCTCCTGAGAATCATGAAGAAAAAAAAAAAGAGTTAAAAATAGAAAAGTTTGAAGTAACAGTTATCTATCGTGTGTTTACAGTTCAGACATGTCTCGAAACCAGACTTTTTAACTTCTATTTGATTCAAGGAAAAGTCAAAAGATATCAATAACAAAATGAGTCAATATTTTCTGACCTGTGAATTTGAGAGAACTATCGAGGATCTCTCTATCTCTCTGCTGCTCTCTTGCAACAGTTTTGGATTAAAAATATGGTTGAAATTCTGGTTGAATTTGGTTGAAAGGTTTTTTTAAAGCTTCTGTACTTTTCGATTCTATTGATCATTAAAATAACAGCGATTTTATCAATTTAAAACACCATATTGCAAAGGAGTAAATGAAGGTTGTCAAAAATGTTTATTCTTTGATACTTTTCTTATTTGATGCATTGTTTTTGTGCAATTGAGACAGTGTGCAGACGTTTGCCTGCAATTTTTGGTAATACAAACAAGATATTGATTAGAAATATTGGGTGCCTAGGATTTCTACTTTTGTTACAGGGGTATTGACACAGGTACCAGTATAGCTGAATTTCATATCAAAGTTAAAAAATCTGGTAACTGTATCAAAGAATCTAAAATGTTGAGATCCTTAAATCAACAATATGAGGGAATTTGGTTTGGTGCACTTTACCGCCCAATGAAGGTTTCTGTGTGCAGAGCACTGAAGTAAGACACACAAAGTGCTGATACAAACCATGTCGACTGATTAGGTTCAATAATATCAGTAATAGCAATTCTGACTCTGCTAGAGAGTCTGCAGGCTGTTAGTTGCAAACTTTCTGCACGTGGAGTATGTGTTTGTGTCTTTAACTGTTACCATGATGTCTATAGGCTGTGGCTAAATATCAACAATGGAGAGGGTCATTTATTGGTTGCTAGTTGAGACAGGTTTGTATAGTTCCAAACTTATAAAGCTAACTTTTAGATCGACAAGAAAGAGACAACTTTTTGTCATAAGACGAATTGATTTATTCATTAGTATCACACGTGAGACATAACTTGGTGTAGATGGCATTCTGCATCCTGTAAAGTTCATAAACATGAGACAACAATTACGATGCAGCCTAATGTAACATTACTATCTGTTTTGTATAATATCTGCAGTGATGTACACTCTGCTTCCTGCTCGGTCACTCTCTCTTTTTCTCTTCTCAGTGTCATCTGCGCCATCACTGTCCTCATCTGTCTCTCAGTCGTTGTATCTGACAGTACAGAGACAGGCTAACTGGCTGCTCTGTAGCTGAAGACTGCTGTGTGAACTAGTGCTGTAAAGCTGTAAGCACTTCTTGCAAGACACCCTGAGTCTGCTGCCAAAGTTACATAATGCATTAAACATGATGGAAGTTGACCTTTTGACCTTTGAAACTACTATTTTAAGTTGGAAAAGAGACATATTGATGCTTTAATGAATACTATAAATTATGTTGGTGTTGTTAAAAGGGAAGTTTAATTTCACCTGTTAGATCCATTGTACGATCCACAAAAATGATGGATGCTTTATTTGGCGCTGTCTTCCTCCGGTTTTTAGCTTGAGGGTGATTGGCTAGTTCTCCTGCTATGATCCGGCTCATTGGTCCCACAGCAAAACTCTCCTCCCTGGTCCCTGTAGCTTCAAACACTGAATTTAACGCTGCAGCCAAAGATTTGATCTCAAGCTGCAGCTCAACAGGCAGAGAGTGCATGTCAACATCCAGCAGGCTCCCAAATCTCTTCTTCTCTGGTCTTTTTGCATTGATTGCCTGCAGGTCAGGTGAGAGCAGGGGGAACAGGTGAGTGAAGGTGGGTGTGAGGAGCAGGTGCTGGGACACGGGGGCGAACACCACGGGGGCATGCATGACTTCAGCGGTGTAGTTCATGTTCCCCATCCATTCACAGAGTTTCTCCTCAAACTGCTCGAACACAGGACTCCCCTCCAGCTCCGCGGTGACGTCATTGGCGAACAGGTGAACAGAGTGAGGCACCGTGGTGAAGACAACACAGTACTGGAAGTGACTGAGAGAGATGATGTCTTTAATGATGTCCACCGTTATGCCCTTCAACAGAGTGCTCACCACAAACACGGCCTTCGGTTCATTCACTCCGCAGGCTTCAAAGCTTGAAAACTGCTTTAAATTTCTGGCTCCAGCCTCCAGTAAGACCTCAGCTCCTCCGCTCCAGTGCAGAGCTTCAGCGCACCTATCATCCATAAAAACGACCGCTTTCTTCACCTTCGACGACACCTTCTCCCACATCTGCTGCGGCAAGCGCGTAAAATCCTCCGCCGACGACATTTGTTTTAATTATGAGTGTTAGCTTGATGTAACGGAGTCAACGACACATCAGAAGTGCAGCTAACGTAGCTTCAAAAACCAAAACAAACACACGAGTCTCCTAAAGGTGACGTGGCAATCGCGCGTCGCATCATAAATACGTCACAAGCTTTCGCTTGTCGCTATGGCATTGAACAGATTTAACAAACCGACTCGCATGAAGTGCCAATAAAGTTGATAATAATCAAACTTTTCGGAGTCAAATATAATCAGAGTTTTTCATAATTTAGTACCAAAAGTAGCAACGAAATTTCAAAGGCTGTTAAGTGAAAAATAATCCATTAATAACAATAACTCTTTCCAGTGTGGATACTGTGTCATTTTCCATTATTGTATTTTTTATTTATTTAAGTGATGTAAATATGTTTGATTTTTAACTTCTATTTTTTATTTTTAATAAATATATTACGTCTCCTGTTTTTTTTAACTGCTGGAATGCAAAAAATGTCCCCCATGGGGATCAATAAAGTTTATCTTTATCTTTATTTTTTAAAATGTAGACGAAATGTATCACTCTTTTGTCTTTTCCATGATATCACTGATCAAACAAATGATAACTAGCAGATAAAATGCATATTTTAAAAACATCGGAAAACAGAAAACAAATACATTTTAGGAATATATAACTTAAATATGTGATTAAAAAAGTCATAGGCCTAGCTAGAAACATATATTAACTGTTACATTTATTAACTGTTAACTTCAATGAGACGACACATTAAAATCTATTTTCTGTCTCCATAGAAACACATTCATGTCAATTTGACATAATCTACAGGATCTTTTATCAAAGAGTTTAATTTATTACCAAGAGCAGCAACGGAATTTCACGGTCTGAGAGAGAAGAAAGAACACACATTTTACTTGATATCACTAATAATAAAAAATAAAAAATAAAAATACATTTATAAATGAACAAGCACTAGAAGCTACATAAAATAGCCGATTTAAAACAGAACAGAAATAAATTGTAGGCTACATAATCAAAATATTTGAAAACATAAAAAAATATTACAGAGAGTAATAAAAATAACCGTTAACTCACAGCAGCTGGTCAATATTCTAAACTGTCTCCATAGAAACGCATTAAGTGTCAAATTAACCGACACAGACAGGGCTGATGTTTACAGTCTTTATGAGCTGAAATGATTTAATATCTACGATCAATTCTTTAAAAGAAGAACTACTTCTCTAAGTCTTTCTTCTGCTGTTTAAAACGTCCTTTTCTCCACTAAAATGTCGTCATCTGACTCGGACACCACTTTTGTCGATGAAGATGAAGATGAAGAGGGGAAAATATATCACTGTAAGTTTGATAACGGCTGTATGTTTGTTTGATCTGGTTTATTTTTGTCTCACACAATTAAATGATTTAAAATAGCCTGGCAACACTTAAATATATAGCCTATCAATATACTTCCTATCTGAGTCATGCTTAACTACTTTATTGATTATACTCATGTAGGCGGTAGTCTATTGTATTAATGAATGCAGGATGTATCACGCCTTCCTGTAAGTGTTTAGTTCACAGGTAAACTAATCCTATCGTAGATTAAGCATCATTATTCCCATTTACTTTATTTTTTAATCGATATTGTATCTATTTAGCCTGTAGCTTAATTCCACCTTCATTGATTTTTATTTATGACAAATACTATTTGATCTGGAGGCTAAACAAGAGATTCTAAAACTATAAAGACACATTATAGCCTATCTGTTTGGGATCCCTCATTTACACATAGCCTGACTGTATTAATATATTCAAATATATTATAACTTTCAATAAAGGCTGGACAGATCTTTTCTACTGAACTGTCAATCCTATTCTTTCTTAATGGTCACTGTGCAGGTACTAAACTGTACTAAACCAACAGGTTTGACTCATCCTGATTGGGTGATGTAAGCAGACAGCCCCCTGTTGTCTGATGGTAATAATAGGAAACTAAACACTTTAATGACTTTTTTTTTTTAAATATGAGTATTTTACGGTTCTTTTTCTCACTTTGTTGATTTTTTTAATACAATTAATCTTTCTGTCTGGTTTATTCCTTTGTCTTTCATTGTTAGTGTTGCACTCCTGGGCATTTTTTTCTATCATTCATTTTGATGTCGGTATCAAATTAGCCCACTGATGCTAACTTTAGGCTATAATGTGTTTCAGGGATTTATCAGATTCATCAGATCGATGAAGATGACAAGGAGGAAAAAGAAGAGGTTGAAATACCATTCAGGTGAGTATTCTGATGCATCAAACCGATTAAGATTTCTGGTGCATTTGCATGACACCCTCTCATTTTAAGTATGAATATCTGTCCAGAGTATAGCCTGCATTTAAATTTAAGATTCTGCCAACAATGAATAAATAATGACATGAGACTATCAGACTGTAATTAAAGATTCACCTGTCTCACTTAGCCCTCCAACACCTCTCTGACTTTGAGTTTTCCGACGTGTCAGAGAGAAGCTGTGAGCTGTGCATGCAGGTTCATTTGCGATCAGAACCCACTGCCTCGCAGTAATGAAGCATTCACAACACAATAATCACAGTGTTCATTAACGCAGCACAACACGTGTGTGGCACCTTGTGTCCCGCCTGAAATGTGCAGCCGGTCATGCAGAACATTAAGAAGTATTTTGATGATCGTTAAATCTGCAGCAGGCGAGCACTGTCTGCCTGTCAGTCTGTCTGTCTGTCTGTCAGTCTGTCTGTCTGTCTGTCTGTCTGTCTGTCTGTCTGTCTGTCTGCCATAAGCCAAATAATTGACAAGCCAATAGCGATACACCCTGATACATTGAAGACAGAACCTGACTATATTAATATAAATATTATAGGTGTATATATTTAAAAACAATTTGTTCCCTGCTGGGAGTCAGCTAGATTAAGAAAGAATATCTGAGCACAGGGATATCTCCAGAATAAATTAGGTTTCCTGTAGGAACGGCACTAAAAGCCATGACATGTTCCTGAGGCGCGTATGCAGATAGAAAACAAATCCTTGGAGATTTGTTGGCCCCCGCACTGAAACCATGACTCACCAGCACAATCTGATTCTGAATCCATCTCCTAGAGTGAAAAAAGTCTCTATTATTAGAAAATCAGAAAGCTGTGTGTGGTTCACTGCAAACCCTGAAGCCTGATTGTTAGAATGACATTCCCCAGGAAACCAAATAAACAGAAAACAGCTGCTGTTTGTACAGCTGTGATGGGTTGTTTCACAGAACATAAACATATATGAAGAGGAGACACTTTTCATATGGTTTGATCATGTGTGTATTTGGGCTGTGCAGCAGCACCTGTGTGTTGAAATGATCTCTCTGTATATATTTCAATATAATGAGGAAATATCAGTCTGCAAAGAGTGTCTCAGCCTGTTATTGGTCTTGACAGGAGCAGCCTGAGTGAAGCACTTAGATAAAAATAACTGCACTCACTGCAGAATAATATCGCTCCTCAGACCTCAGTCCTCATTATTATCTAAATCATTCATTTAATGCCCAGCACATCCCATAATCTGCTTTAATGTGTTTTGACATGCAATCGGAAATTATCATTATTATTTCCTGTGTGCTTCTTTCATTGTATGTGATCATTCAAGAGCTGTCCAGGGAGTGATGAAGACAGAGACAATAACAGAGCCGATTATTTTTTTTATGGAGGCATGCAGAGTGTAACTGTTTACTCTCAATCTTCTCACACAATAATGTTGAATTTTCCAGCCTTTTATGGTGCTTGTTTGCCTCTTGGGCTGAATGGGAATGTGCATTATTTGTCAGGAAACCCACTTCTGTCAAAACGTAGCTTTGAGATATTTTCATTCTTTGTTTGTTTGCTGTTTTTTTGTTTTTTTTTGGTGCTGTATTAGCCCTTCATGTGGAGCCAATTGAGATTACATTTCCTTTTTTTGTGACCCAGATGCTTGCAGAGTTTCCTCAGATTTCAAGTGAATGTCATGAATATGGAGATAACTGTGTTGATTATATATGTGCCTGTTGATTTCTTGCAGCTCTGAACACAAACCTGTGCACACGACTGAAGATGAAAGGATGACAAATGACACTGGAACACCGAGGAGCACACTTGACACAACAGGAGCACAACGACAGAGAGAGCAGAAAGGTCTTTGAATGTTTGTTCTATAATTCTCAACAAAAGAAAAACTGCTTAAAAGTGCACAGGTCATTCTTAAGCCCCCATTAAGCCCCCCCATCTAGCCTCTTATAACCTGATTACAAGAAGCATCTGTCATGAAACAGCAGGTTGGGGATACAGATGCACCATGCAGCAAATCATTTTCCTACAAATTGGACTTCATGAAGCTTTTATTATTCACTGACCTCTTCTTTGGCTTCATTACTACAAAATGCTCAAATTAATTATGACTTTATCTTTAAAAAGATAGAAAAAGAAAAAAGATGATCTTCTTCATAACATTTTCTGGCAAATGAACCTGTCTTGATTATGAGGTGTCTGTATCACACAGTTGAAGTAATTTTTTATGTCTTACAGTTGGTCATACAAAAGGACAGCACAAGGATGTAGCAAATTATATCCAAGTAAGACGAGAACCGAAGGTGAAAGCAGAGAAAAAGCTGTGGAGAAGAGCTGGTGAGTAAATATATAAGTGATTCATTCTCTGCAAAAATTCCTTACAAGAATCGATAAAACTCTTTTTTCAATATACAAAATGCCAAAACTTGGACGCTGTTTTAACAAGAAACCGCTGTAACATGACTCTCTTCTTCTACACCAGACTTAATTCCTAAAACCGGTGTTTTTACTTCTCAGGACACAGGAGTTGTTTGTCTACCGTGGGCCTTGATAAGTTAAATTGATTGTGTTGTTGCGTATTACTGTGTTGGATCTAAACTAACAGTTTGAAGCAGCATCACACAACAATACAAACAAATCATCTAATGGAGCTAGGCTAGCAGTAGATCAGCAAATCCTGTCTTTTTCAGGGTATAATTAATCACTTTGTCAATGTAGTCTGGTGGCTTTGAAGAGTGTTGTTACGGCTGTTTCTGGTTTTGGAATTGGTTTGCAGTGTGTAAAATCCTTCCATGCAGATGTTTTGTTG